CTTTTGTACTCTTTAATAAAGGAGTCAAACTTAAATACATTCTGGGGTAACTGATTCATATCTCTTACTGCACTGGTACTTTTTATTCCTCTTTTCTTTTGGAGTCTTTTCTGTCTTAATTTATCTTCTATTCATGTCACATGGGAAGGACTCTTCCCTTGAGACTGAAAAGAATAGAAACAACTTTGAACACCTTGGAAACACAGGTCCAAGAGGATTATAATGATTCTTTTAAAGAAGGAAATGATTAGAGGTCAGATATCTAAATCCCAATATATCCTCTTACAGGGTCTTATCTACAGGTTTTAATGGCTTTCCTCACCAATCTCGCCATCCTCCTGGTGCTGGCTTGTATTTCCCATCAGCTGATGTTGGGCAGCTGTCAGAAAGGTCGAAGGGGACGAGGGGGACGAGGGGTGGACAGAGGACAGCACAAGGACAGGTCAGGGCCGAAGGTCGCCCGCCAGCCCAAATCTGTCTCTGCTCAGCCCATCAAGGGAAAACTGGTCACCAAAGACAAGTCTGAGTGCACCTGGGCGGCCACGGGTGAGGATGTCTTCGTCCTCGGTGTCACTTGCAAGAAGGGGGACACAAGCTTTAGCTGTGAATACGTCTCCAAACCTTTCCTCTGTCCCAGGTACGCCTCCAATGTCAAACTCTACTGGAAGCAAATTGCGAGGGCACTGAAGAAGCAAAAGAACCTGTGCCAGGACGGCAGTGCGCCGGTCAGGGCAGGTATGTGCAGACAAGCTGCCAGAGATGCTCATTTCAGACTCCGTGATGTTCAGAGAGAAACTGTCCAGCCTCCCCCACCTCCTCCTCCTCCTCCCCCTGCGGCCAGAGCTGTCAAATCCTGTCAGCCTGGACACAAGAAGCTGGCGGAGGAGCACTGTAATGACTCCTGGTCGAGTCTTTGCACGTTCTTTTTTACTATGGTGCAGGATGACGATTGTTGAGACAGAAAAGAGGAGAAGAATTAGAAACTTATTATCTAACTCTTTATATACACTTGTCACAAAAAAGTTTGAAATCATGTGAATCCTTTGAGATAGAACTTCACCAATGTTAACACTCAATAAATCCTTTTGTATTTCTAAATGATTTGAATGGTTTGTCTATTTGAATGAGAATAAATTGTGTTTCAAGAAAATACTAAAAGTTGAGACTCAGTATGTGAGAATAAACCCAATATTCTTTTACAAACACAGAGAACTGAATCACAGGCCCACACATACACTTTCTATGTATGTTTATTAAAGTAATCTCATGTAAAATCATCTGTTCTTACATCATGTTCATACAGAATTAGATTTCCTTCCTCGATTCAAACAAGAGCACTTTGTCCTGAACTTTTAAAACAATCGAATTTACTGTAAATCCCTCTTTTTCTGTTTTGTCCTCTAATGTGTGCGCTCGCTCCTGCTGAAGGTATTTGCTGGGAGATTAGACACTGGGCATGTTGGGTATTGACACAGTAATTTAACCAGGGGGAGTGTGATTTTTGAAAAGCATTAGCCTGCATACTTTGGCACGAAACCTCAGACTCCACGTTCTCAGTGTGGAAGTGTAACAACCTCACATGTTCAACTTGCAAAATCAGACTCAGCAGGGATGTCAGCGTTGTGTTTGGCATCTATACCTCGATCGGTGGAGCTTTCCACACTTCAAAGAGTATTGCCAAGTCAATACAACATTGAAATGAAATGTTAACCAAGTTAAATTCAGCATTTTCAGACTTATTCAGTCAGCAAATATCCTGCAAAGTTTCAAATAACATTCTCCCTTTACAACAAACACTGCTGTGTTTTCTATTTGGCAGCATTTTCATGCAGAGGTTCCTTTGTCTCAAAATCGAACCACTGTGAGAATATTGATTTAAGAATTGTTAAATCAAAATTAAGGAATTAGGGCAAAAAACAAAAACATTTGAATTGTCTTAGCTTTTGATTTCAACTTTCAGAAATGTATTCTGGATAAAGGATTTTTCCCACAAAGCTAAAACGTCAGCTGCGACATTAGAGAGAAATGTTTTTCGAGGATATCTTTGTCTTGTTCTTTTGAAGGTTGTGTGCAAAACTAAAATAAACTAAACAAATAATCACAAAGCACACAGATCTGTTCCCAGCGGCCCAGAGGGAACGACTTTCCTCTCCTTGATGATTTGAGCTTCGTCTCCCGCTGTAAACTAATGCATCACCCACAGCTGAAATCCATCATGCTCAGACTGCTCAGCAGGTTGCATTATGGGCCATATAGGAAAGCCCTCGTTGGTAGATAACGCAGAATGAAGCAATGTGGCTGCAACTAAAAGTAAATTAGAGGGCGGTCGCACCAAATAACAGCGGGAATGCAGTGAACCAGTGGAGTCAGGGAGGAGAACTCCATCAAGGGAAAGTTTACAACACCAGCTGCTGAAAAACACAAGCCTGTAAAATGTGTTTCAAGGGACTATTTCAAGAGAAAGTCTTCACACAGTCCCTATAAAAACACGAAAATACCAGAACACCTGTTCACTCCTTATTTAAAAACCCTGTAAAGAGCATAACAAGGCCAGATAACCTGAAGACCATCTGTCTTTTCAAATGAAAACTCATATTAAAGAGAATGAAAACATCTTTATTAGTAATGTTTAAAAATGGCAGTAGTTGTCGGTTTTGTATTCCGATGCATAATCATCTGCCTGACCTGTCTGTTTTAACCCCGAAGCCATTTCACTGAGCTCCTGCCACGTTCTGCTCCCTCAGGCATTAAACGAGCTGCTGGTAGCGTAAAGTCTCACCGAGCGGACAACAGGGTTCACCAATGCACCGTGACGATGTCGCACATTTCCGATAAAAGCAAAAGACAAGCTGTGTTTGGTTTGTTATGTTTGCTGCACGGTGATTCATCGAATGGTTTCTTCTGTTTCTCTGTTGCAGCAGCTCAGTTAAAAATCCACTGAATCATCAGCAGGTGCAGCAGCCGAAGGTTATGAAGATAAATGTTTCCATGAAGACTCACAAACAGAAGGATTCAGTTTTTAGTCGAGCTGGTTCCACATCTCCATTCTTCTTCAGTTATTTTTATCAGCAGTACACTGCTCACCATTTTCTCGCATTGTGGCACAAGAGCTAAAAAGAATTCTTCAGAAAATACCAGTGTGTTAACTTCTGTTGTCGGACATGAAGTTTAAGAACCTGACGGCCTGATGATAGAAACGGAGTGTTTGCATGCATTCCTGCTTCTGTGACGTCTGCTGGACAGAACGCTTCCAAATTCTGATTTATACGTTCTATGTCCAAGATGAATTCTACTGGATTAGAGAACGATTCTGGTTTGAATCTCTAATGTACGATATTTACATCATCTGGAAAACTAAAATTGCGCTCGGTGGAGCGAACACCTCCACCAGAACAACAAGCTCATCGATATCGGTCCCTAAATTTAATCAAGATCCATGAATTAATCTCTGAGAATGTGAGAATGACAACTCACAACGCTAGAAAGCGAAAAAGAAAATGCTGGATTCTTACATTCATTCATTTTATCTTTATTTGTCCAACTGTAGCATTAGAACTGGATTCCTTCAACTCAGCAGGTTCACAGTTTAGCGAACTGCTATCAACAGTCAACTCAACGCTACTCTGACTATATAATCGGATAAATGCTAAAAGCTTTCCAGTTCTGCTACAGTCTTCAGCTTTCTCTGTATTCTCCTGAAACCATTTCAGCTTATTTCCACATCAGGAACACTTTCAAGTTTCAAGGTTTTAAATCTCCCACAGCGTCCGTCCTCAGACGACTACATACGCAGAGGTGGCCTGACCGCCTGCGGCTCCTGATTGGCCAGAGAGACGTGGGCCTTGGTCGAACTGAGAGTACGGAGAACACGCCCACTGCTCCACTGACACTAAGGAGATTTGGCCCAGAGTTTGTCAGTCCAGATTACACACTCGCATGAATGGCTGCATGTGTGTGAACGAGCGTTTAGTTCATAAAGAGCTTTGCCTAGATTACAACACACATATTTCATTGTTAGCGTGAAATGAGAATGATAACCGGGCACAAAGGAAACCTGCAGGTCTCTGTGTGCAGCGTTACAACTGAGCAAACAATCACAAAGTCACTCCTTCAGAAATAGAGATGAGGGAGTCAGAGCTGAAGTCTTGTGTTGTTTGACGATGAAATGTAACACTGGAGGTTTGTTCTCAGCATCTTCCTGTGGAGGAAGTGAGTACCTCCTGTGCAGCGGGTGATTTATGACGGACTGAGCTCACTGCCACCGGCCACATAAAGTGCCGAGTCATGATAATCGATTAACAAAGCAGCCGACCAACCTGCAGACGTGATGGAGATTTCTGTACGTCAGCACAGAGATTACACCTGCAAGTTTCAAAAAGCAGGAATAAAACACTGAATATCAAAGATCACACGGTGTTTACTGTTTATAAAGTTTAAATATCCTGGGTATGGGTTAGTTTCTGTTGTCATAGCAACAAATAACTAATCAGAAACGAACTTATCGTAAAATTAACACTTAAAAATCATCCTAAAAACCCCCCAGAAAAAGAAACGTTTCGACGTGTTCCCTCTATTAACACGTAAGATCCATACTATGGCCAGCCACCAGGGGGCGATATACATGTTTTGGCTTTATGTTTGAGGAGCTTTCATGTTGTGCGTCTTTATTTATAGTATGAGAGCAACATCTCCGTCAGTGTGTTTATCTGAAATATAAAGTGTATTTGCTGTTTTTCAGTTTCTTAATTGTCTAATTTATTCTTGATACATTTTGATCAAACTGCATTTTGGTTGTTGATTTTTCAGCGGCTTCATTTTACGGTTCTGTGATTTCAGTCGGTTCAGTAAACACGTACTTTTTTTTACCAACATTGGTTCAAACTTCCACAACTTCTACAGCCAACAGCACTTAATGCTTAATGATTCAAAATGCATAAATCAAAAACCAATTTCCTCTGATAATGAGGTTTTGTTTTTAATATTTGACATATTTCTTTTTCCTGTATTTTTGGTTGAATAAATATTTAACTTGTTTCTTTTTTTCTGGTACAATAATAGCGTTTTTCCATTTCTTCTTCTTTTTGCTGGATGTCTTTATTGCTCAACACAGATCTGCCTGTTCAGACAGTCCCCAGAGTTATTCAGTAAAAAAGAACATTCACTGTTTTTACCTGAAGCCAAATCATATCTGAAAAAACATTATATAGGACGATTAAGTGCAATAAAAACCTTGTGCAGTGAAATGCAATTTGCACGAATGACTGTAACTACAGAGTAAAGGTGAGATAATGTTTCTGATTTGTCGCTCTGAGGTGAGTTCTTGTCTGCAGACGGAGGAACGACATGCCAACGCATGAAAACTGTGAATCTTCATGTGGTTTCTGAACAGAACGTCTGACATAAACATATATGAGGGAGGATTTCTGAACCACAGACACAAATAAATCATTGCTGTATGTCTCAGTGATCATTGGGATGAATGTGGGAATCTGATCTTACACGGTGGATTTATGTCGCTGCACGTCAGAGAAGGTGAGAGAGTTACCTGCGCAGGTGACACGCGCAGTGAGCGCCTCGTGCGGCTCTGTCTGCAGACACGTGTGTCGAACGAACTCCGGAACAACAGGTATGAAAACACACACGTGATCCCACAGCTCGATTCTTTTCACTCACGAGGTTTCATTTTGATAAAGTCTGAAGTTCACTCAAACTCACGTCGGTTGCTAGTCCGCCGTCAGCTACCGACACGAATGCACCTGCTCGATGTTGAACATGAGAAGCTACTGACGAGAAACAACCAGGAGCGACGAGACTTCGTGTTTCAAGCTTCAGCTCTTCTTGGCTTCACTTTGTTTTTTATTCTGCGCCACGTCCTGAAAACGTTGCTAATGCTAATCGCTAGCTAGCGCCGATGGTAAGCTAATGGCCCACGAGGCTAATAATACAGCAGCCACGTGGACAGGTGAGCTAATGTTTGTGTGGAGGTTTAACTCGGGTTTAATTCATTTGAATGGTTTCAATCACCAGTAGAGAGTTACTGTGCTGTGTGTATTAGATTGTAATG